AAAGCTCTCGAGATGTGCTATAAGAATATGCAATGAAAAATGGGGTGTTCCATTTAAAAAAATTAATGTGACCTTGACCTGACCTTCGCTACGCAACCCAAGGTCAAACTGATGTGATCAGTAAATACATCTTTTTAAACGCCACAACTTTTGTCTGAAACATTTTTTTGTAAAACTTATATTTTTCCTGATATTCGGGCGTCCCGGTACTTTCCGAACACCCTGTATATATATATATATATATATATATATATATATATATATATATATACAGTGAGAAATATGTAAATTTTTAGAATAAGAAAGTTGGTAAAGTGAAATGACTTGTCTATAATAATATTATATTTATTAAAATTTTACTATTATAAAGTATATCAATAGTATATAAATTATGTTTTTCGAAATGTTTGATATATTCTTATACTTATAGAGATGGACCAACCAAAACGCAATGCAGCCAAACCTCAGCGATATCAGACTACATCTTCAGATGAAGCTTCACAGACTACAAGTACAAAAAGAGTTCATGCGTATATACGAAGAATTTTAGAAGATAATGAAACAGAATATAACGTTAACAGAATATAACAGAATATAACAGAATATAATATAGTGTTATCCACGTTCCATCGCACATTTACACAGACATGCGTTCACAGTCACATACGCATTCATAGTTACACACACATTCACAGTCACCGATACATTTACAGCCACCGATACATTCACAGCCACACACACACTCACAGCCACACATGCACTCACAGCCACAGATGCATTCACAATCGCACTCTCACTTACAGCCACTGATACATTCACAGCCACATATGCATTTACAGCCACATACGCACTCACAACCACACATGCACTCACAGCCACAGATGCATTCACAACCGCACTCTCACTTACAGCCACTGATACATTCACAGCCACATATGCATTTACAGCCACATACGCACTCACAACCACACATGCACTCACAGCCACAGATGCATTCACAACCGCACTCTCACTTACAGCCACTGATACATTCACAGCCACATATGCATTTACAGCCACATACGCACTCACAACCACACATGCACTCACAGCCACAGATGCATTCACAACCGCACTCTCACTTACAGCCACTGATACATTCACAGCCACATATGCATTTACAGCCTCATACGCACTCACAACCACAGATACACACAGCCACACATGGACTCACTGGACATACGCACTTACAAGTACATGTAGACTCACAGCCACACATCACTCACAGGCATACACTCAGTCACAGCCACACACGCACTCGCAGCCATACGCACAGCATCAGCTACCAATGAGCTCTAATACAGCTCACATTGCAGATACCAACGTTAATGCAGAATGAAGAAGATTAGAAAGCAGAATGGAGAAGATTAACAATGAGTAAGTTCATATATATACATTTATATATTTATATTTATGTACTGATTTATATTAATATATTTATAACATAAACATTTACATGTATTTAATTAATAATAATACAAGAGCAATACAATAAGTAACGACAAATTATATTTTATTGAGATGCATATCACACATACATATACAAATATAATATTATTTTTGCATGTAGTCATCGTCCTTTTCAATGCATTTTCCCACCTATCGACAAGCTTCTGTACTTCTAGAGAAAACAAGATTAACATTGATTGCGAAGCGAGAAACACAGTTTACTTAACTTCGCTGTCGGTATAAAATCTTCATCCTCCTAATGTTTCCTTAAGCTTCCCAAACATGATAATCTGATGAAGCAAGGTCGGGATTATACGGGAGATGATGTAAGGTCTAAAATTTCAATTTTTGAATGGTGCTAATTGTAGCTACTGTAGTAGCAACTGTTGCAGCAGTAGCTATTATACATATTAATGTTTGGGAAGCTTAAGAAAACATTACGAGGACGAAAATTTTACAAGGACAACGAAGTGAAGGAGGCAGTGTATTTCTGGCTTCGCAACCAATCTAAAACTTATTTTTTCTTTAGGAGCATGTCGAAAGACGGGGGCAGTGCATTGAAAAGGACGATGACTACGCAGAAAAAAGTATAATATTTGTTTATGTATGTGTAATATGCATCAGAATAAAATGCAATTTGCCTGTATTTCATGAATTTCTCTTGTACGTATAAAAGGAAACAATTATAAAAATAAGTGTATGATATACAAAATAATATTAAAGCATATGGTGAGGCTATATTAATAATTATAGGCAAATAGGGAACCGTCGTATTTTTGAACGAATTGAAGCAGATAACAAGTTTGTATTATTTATATAATTATATATATATATATATATATATATATATATATATATATATATATATATATATATA